GCACTGATTGCAGCTTTAACTGTATTTATTACCTGCATTTACCAAGAAGTCCCATTGAGATACCTCTGTTTTACAAGTGAGACCATACACGCATACACGCATGCTGAGGAGGCAACATGCACAAAAGCAGGGCCATACGACTAGTATACTTCAATGATATGCTGGTATAAATATCTATCTTAAATACATCTGTGCCATTTGTTATAAAAAGTCTGTATTATTCAAGAGAAGCCATCCATTACAGCTTACCAGGAATTGTGTTATCTAAGAAGAAGCCAAGGAAGCCTCCTACAAACATATGAGTAGTCAACAATATTTGCAACACTTGATCCACCTCCTTGACACCTGAGAGAAAAAAGTATCACAAAAGATTTTGGATGATTTGCTTTTTATTTAACATTAAAAACTATTTATAGTGATATTTTCAATGGTGATTTTACCTGTGTCAAGAAAAGTGGGATTCTTCATGATCCAATTTGGAATAACAAGTGCAGAAAACATGGAGAAACCAAATATAAAGATATTCCGAGAAGAATTCATATCTGTGGACTGCCATGTAAGATGTGTCAGCAAAACACAGATAGTAGCAAAAATGTAAATGATTAAAAAAAAAGGATTTAGCACGGTTGTTTACCTGCAGATTAGAAATTCCAGCAGCTCCTATGACTCCAAACATGATCATGAACATCCCTCCAATCACAGGTGTAGGGATGGTTGTGAAGATTGCTCCAATTTTTCCCAGGATCCCCATCAAAATCATGACAAATCCACTCAGAAGAATCACTGTTCGACTGCCCACCTGTTGCCAAATGAAACATCATGCGGTTCATATGTTTTGCCCAGGTAATCAGGACCCATAGCCTCACTCATAAATTAGGTTTGCAGTCTTGATTCTTGTGTTGAAAGATAATTAAGCTCCAGAGTGGAACATTTTATGCAATTCATATTCACAGTATCTTACTCTGGTGATGCCGAGGGCTGCCACATTCTCGCTAAACGAAGTAGTGCCATTGCCCGTGCCAAACGCCCCTGCCAACAGAGACCCGACTCCCTCGACACCGATGCCACGATTGATGGCGTGCTTGGGGGGAGGCGGTGCTCCTGACAGCCTGGCACATGCATGGTAGTCACCCACAGACTCTGCCATGGAGCATATTATTCCAGCAATAATGCCAACCACACCTGCCAGGCTAACAGTTGGCAACCCCCATTTACCTGAATAGGTAGGTCAACAGTTAGGCTTGTCACTGATGAATACGTCTTTTGCCATTGTTTTAATTCCCTGTGAACTCACCAGGATAAGTAAATGTGAACCAAGAAGCCTCACTCACGACATTTCCCTTCACATCTGTGCGAGCCAGGTAGCCGTATTCATCTGGATCAGATGGCAGGACATCATGGATGGTGAGGAGGTAGCAGACTAACCATGAGACTGCAATGCCCAGGAGAATCTAATCAACATCTAACATTAGTATTAGAGCCAGTATGTTTTTGCTACATCACATATGAAGTCGAATTTTAAGAGAACATACTGGCATTATCTGAAAGAGAAAGAACTTTGAGACGTGCAGTTTCTTGATCTTGTTGTATGCAGGAACAGGGATTGGTATGCGGCGGAGGTATTGAGAGAAAAGGATGATCAGCACTGTGGTCCTGTGCATAGAAAAGAATAAGCAAAAGGTGATGAATGCAAACAAAAACTCAAAAAACATCAACACAAACTGCTGAATTTAACTAATTTAATTGCATGTAAAATTCCCATGTCATTTTGTTACAAGTTGCACAAGTACAAGTTGTTACATTTTATGGAATATAGTCGAACTAAATTATTTGATTGTTTGATACCAAACACATTTTCCTTAAAGATTTTTGTATTTTATTAAATAAATCTTTGATTTTTTAAAAAAATATTTCAGTGCATTTTACTCAAAATTATGACTTTATATTTATTGTGTCATTGGAATCCCATATGGAAAAGATATATATAAATCTTATAAAGTTTCTGTCTTGTGTGAAACTTGTATGAAAAGCATACAAGAGTGAAAACAGATATAAGATCCCTTGAAAAATTATATAAATGAAACTTGTAAGTTTTGAAAACTTACTAAAACAATATATGAAAGTGGCCACTTTCATGAGTAAATCATATAAGCCTTATATGATTCACTATATGAAGTAGGCCACATCTGCTGCAAGTCTTTTATAAGTTTTTTCTATTTCTTTTCCATATGGGAAGATACTGGTGATACCGCTGTAGACACCATGTTTAAATCACTAGCTTTTGGCTGTATGCTAAACCACGACAAGACAGAATTTACATCCTGATGTAAGTCTAGACTGTGACCTCGTGGGATGAAAATCTTCAACCCCATACTGATGCTTCAGAGTGGTTACATACATAGCAGAAATGCCCCAGTGGCTGCCTGCCTTCACTCCAGCTGAGTCGTACAGCGACAGGCCTATGAGTGACACGGTTGGAGCAATGGTTAAGGGGCCAATGAAGCGCATGAGGAAGCCGATGAGGCCAGAGAAACCAACCAAGACCTGGAGGAGAGAGGCCACCATAATAGAGCCCTGCAGCTGTGGACGGGAACATAGTGTTCAAGAACATCAGTATCAATGTCACCGTGCTTTCTTTGGCTGAGTGATAGACTTAAACAATGAGTACAACTTGTTACTTCCTGGAGTGCAAACCACATGTGTTCACTGAATAAATCATGAGCTCTGCAGAAGTGCTGTTATGTTTTTGTTAGCGTGCTTTTAAGCAAAGATTTGGTTGCGCAGAATTTGCGTTGGCTCACTGTTCTCATGCGGGTCTGCCACACTTCTATGAAGACAGGTGAGGAGGTATTGACCAGGCTGGCATTCTTGGTCCAAGCTGGGCATTCCCAGTCTGGCATGGACAACAAGGCCATGGCTGGGGTCACCAAGGCAAATGTACCTCCCTGTAGGATGGGAAGCCTAGAAGTGTGACATAAACAGTAATAACTTTCAGATAAACAGACAATCAGTTAGACCCATAGTTAGCACATGGTACGCTAACAAAAGAAGACAGTAGGTCGTTAAGCACAAGCTAGCAGATTCAATTTTCTTTTTAGTAAGCTTGTTTGTTTTTTTAGCCTAAATTATGCAATACTTTGCACAAAAAAGTCACTGTACGTCTTGCTAACAGCCCATAGCTTTGTGCCCTATAGTGCTGACATGGTTGCATGTCCAGAAAGACAAAATTAATAATATTTATCATAATAGCAAGCTAACATTTACTAAGATGCTAAGATTTACTACAAGCACCAATTGATGCCTGTTTTTTTCTTTTTGTTGTTATTTAATAATCTTTCTAATTCAGCTACCTTTCAAACTTAACATGTATTCGTGTCATAAGTACATTTTTTTTTTATTAATTCCTGTCATAAAAATGTGATTGGAATTTAGTAAAAGAAACAAAGTATCTATGCAGTGTTGGGCAAGTTACTTTGAAAAAGTAATTAATTATAGTTAGTAGTTACTTCTTCAAAAAAGTAACTGAGTTACAACATTCTAAAAGTAATTAATTACTTGAAAAGTAACTATTGCGTTACTTTAAAAAAACGTTTAACCCTCTGGGGTCCAGGGTATAATTGGCCATTTTTAACTACTTTTGATTTTCCCTCCACATTTTACCTTTAAAAACTATTTACTTTGCCTTGTTTGGTATCATCCTTTTCAGCACAACCTCACGTGTCTGAATTTACAGTCATGTTTTCATTTTGACATACTGTATTAACACAATTGATCTAAAATCAGACAAAAAACATAAAATCAGAGTAGAAAAAGTTATATTTTTTTACTGTAACAACCACAAACATGTTTATTGAATCATATTTCATAACTTTAAATATAAATATAAATAGTCGATTTTAAAATCATATGCACAAGTTTTGGAAACAACAAAGTTATTTGCATCCATTTACCTTTTACCTTTTTTTAAATAACCATTTCAAACTATTCACAGAACAACCAGCTGTTCTGCATTCAATAAGATGCCACACAAATTATTTGTGCCACTCCAAATATTTCTGTCCACTATAAAGAAGAACATCACAGCCTGATACCTGCAGGTCTGACAGCAGCAGGTGTATCACTCCTGTTTCTACCTGGAGACAGCAGTCGCCTCATTGTTCTCACACACAACACAAAACAACACAAAACTATCCACAACACTACACATATTACGTTATTCCCATCACTGTATCTATGTAAATATTAGAATTTTACTGAATTTTTGAACATGGTCTTGCTCATCCACGGCAGCAACATCTTGTGCAGACAGAGTTGTATTAACTATTAAGTCAATATCAGACCATCCCTAAAGGATACAAAGCAGCAATAACCCAGCAGCAGCACTATTACCTGACACCAAAGATGACCTGCAGAATCGTGCACAGGCCAGAGACGAAGAAAATGTTGTTAATGAGCTGACTCTGGGTCAGGCTGTCATGCTGCAGACATAGGCCCTCTGAGAGGATGAGAGGGATGGAGATTATCCCACCAAATGCTGTCAGGTAATGCTGTAGAAGAGACAAACAGTGATGATGATGACAAAACGATGGCAGTGATTACACTGTTACCAACATTAGTGAAACAGAGAGAGCAGAAGGCCTATAAGGCATCCGTGTCACTTATGGTATGGGGTCATTTTCTGTATTTGTACACAAACAAAAAGGGGTTGCTTTTAGACTCCTTAACTGCTGTTGTGATGTTTACAGTTGGATCTCTGTCCACCACTACACTTTCAAAAGTAAGTGGACAACCTAATGTAATAAGAAATACAAGGATTGTGTTTAATACTTGAAAATCACTTGCAGTTACTGACTGCCTGAAGTCTAGAACCCATGGACATCATCAAAAGCAAAAATGTCCTCCCCTGAGACACTGTGCCACAGAAAAAATATCGAATTTCTTTACCTTTTATGTCATTATTTGTTTACTCTGTGAAGTACTCGCCAATCAGTTTGGCAGTATTTGTTTGAATCTGAGCAGAGAGTACAGCCCTGTACACTTTACAATGCATCCTCCTGTTTCTATGAGCAGTCACATCATCAATAAACACCACTGGCAGCCACTCATGCACGTGCCTTAACATCAGTTCCACCATACTTCACAGATGATGTGATATGAGCTGTTCGTCTCGTTCTTCATATGTTTCCCAGAACTGTTCAGTCTCTGTTAGATGTTTAAGTCTAATCTGTCTGCACCTTTTTGCATTTGCATTCATGAAGAAGTCTCACAGAGATAAACCTACCTCCTTGAGAGCGTTCTTAAAGTTCTTTTTCTTAGCCATGGAAAAAAGTCTGGTATCGTGCACTTTAGTTGTCACCTGTGGTCTTTCAGGAATTTTGATGTTGTTGAGTTGACCTGTGCATTGATTCCTTTTAAGATTGTTATGACCACTCCTACTGTTTTTGCTTTCTCTGGTTTATTTTGAATTTTCATCCCAATTATAGAATTTTTTATTTGCAGAAACATGTCTTTGGATCTCATTTGAGAGGGAAATCCAAATCTAAATTCAGCCCTTAAACTGCTTGCTAAGTGGGTGTCCAGTTACTTTTGACCCTCTGAAAATAGGGGGCTTTGTCATTGTTCAAAAACTTTTGGATCTGATTATACATGACTGATAAATGGATGAAAAAGACAACAATACACCAAGCACATCAAAGATTAAACACACCTGAATAGCCAAGAAAATGCACAGGTACCAAGGTGGAACATCAGTCACACAATAGGTCGGTTTATTTCTGTCTCCATCTGTTTCAGACGTTTTACACGCCTTTCCTTTGAGGTGATCATTAACTCGCTCATCCATCTGTAATATCATAGAAAAAAAATCAATCAAAAAATCAATAAAAAAGAATCAGTATGCCAAAATAAAAGGAGATGAAAAATCATTATCTCAGGACTAGTTCACTTCCAGTTTATATAAAAACAGGGAACAAAAATTTTACTGAGGACAAACAGTGCTTTAGAAATTTATTATTATAATTGTTGTTTCTGTAACGGTTAATCCACCAGCATGTGCAAGCTCTATAACTGAAATAATAGTTTTGATTGTAAAATACAATCAAAACTAAATAAAAGTGTAAATTTTGAAATTTACACTTTTATAAATAAAAACCCCAATAAAACAGTAAATCACATGATCATTTTTAACTAGGATGCTAAATATACGAAAAAATTTAATTATTTTAGCTTTCAAACAAAGTTTTTTGACAGATGCTAAAATGTGTGAATTCTCGTTTTTATGACAGGTGGTCCAATAAATTTTTTTAAGCACTGTACTAGTGTAATGACCTGCCTTCAGCTGCTTTTTATGACTTGCAAATATTCATTATTTAACACTGAATCATTGAATAATTTGAGGTTTTATGTGCACGTTCAGGCAGAGAGTAGATGCAATGGAATGCAGACACAGACATCATAAAGCAATTTATTTCTTTATTGGACTCGTATGTTTAAAAGAAAATACCATATTGTGTATATGTGCTCTAAACTGCAGCAAGCACTAGTAGATTGCAAAACTTTCAAAACTTTCTCACCCTTTACTCGCACTGGATCACTTAGAACAGAGTTAAGTGCAGCTCTTATTGCAGTTAAAGGCAATCTGAACGTTTCCAGGTGCCTATTGATGCTGACCTTATTTAGAAAGAATGCTCAAAGAAGCAAACAATGGTATCTTTTACAAAAACACGTTATTGTACTCACATCAAACGCAAGATTGTCGAGTCCACTGCTGTCCACCCCAGAAGCCATTGAAATTTCAAAATGAAGCAGATTTTCTAACAAGAGATGAACCAAACTGTATGTACAACAATGTACTAACAAGCAGTTGTTACTTGTTAAGGAGCCAAAGGTGGACAGGACGTTGTAAAGGTGTCTTACTGGCAGTGTCTGCCTTTCAGAGTATCACATTTACAGCTAGTACTGTTATGGTCATCCCGGGACTAAGTTCAGCTCCGGGCACCCGTGTTAATTATTTTTTAACCATGTGGACTTCCTAGCGCTAAAGGTAAGTTAGGAGAACAAGGTAAATAAATGACACTGACTATTGCATTTGTTCATATATTATCCAGTTTCTGTGAGTTAAAAATTATGCACTTTTGCTTTCAAGGTCTGATGTGACCCCCCCTTTTCGCTCCCGGACATCAGCTAATGGGAATACTTGCCCAATCGTCTAATTTGGGTTGAATTTTCTAAAAGAATAAAACACTGATTCATTGAGCCTCATTCTTCTTATTCTATCTGTGGTAGAACAGCCAGTGTGCTTAAGGTCACTGTTTTTCTTTATGCACCACATTCATCTTCAAAGAATTCAGAATTTCTTGCTCTATCAATGATTACAACCTATCCCAGCTCGATGCAGGAAAACAGACACACTATTATGCTCCCTCCACCGTGCTTTACCCTCGGATAGAAGATGCTGCAGTGCCAGTGTTTTCGTTTTCCATCTCCTCACTGCAAAAAGGTCCTCGGGTCAAATCCACTGGGCGATTGTGGAATTTGCATGGTCTCCCCTTGTCTGAATGGTTTTACACCTGGCACTCTGGCTTACATACCAAGCATGTTATGTTAATTGGTTAATTGTCTGTCTCTCTGTGTTGGTCCTGCGACTTGCCCAGGATGTCCCTTAGCTCTTGCCCTATGAAAGTGAGGATGTTGTGACACTGAATTGGATAAATGGAAAAAAATAAGTGAATGGATTTTATTTACATAGATAATCTTTAATTGCACTCATGGCTCGTGTTCAAATATGATGATTTAATGCAAAAAGCATAAAAATTAAAAAGGTTGACTTCCAGGAACCTAACTTACTCTAAATAATCGTAAAGTCCAGTAAAAGCTGTGATAAGTTGACAGAGAGTATATATCAGCAATAGTGATAAAATGTTGTATGATTAAGGATGGTGCATGATTGGGGATATACTTCCCAGCAAGGAGAAAGAGATGTGAGAGAAATGTGGCCATGCAGAGCTGTATCTCCTGCTGTATTCTTGCTGTATGTCAGCAAGAATGCCGGAAAACTAATAAACTAAAAATCCTGAAACTTGGTGGAGAGGTGGTGTGATGGTTCAGAGATGAAAGCGTCCAAATACATAACACCAGAGGCAGATAAAAAGATTGAAAACACTGAGTCTAGGCTTGGGGTCTCATGCCTTAAGCAAAATATACAAGGGAAAAGGTAAGAGGCAAGGTCCAAAAATCCCAAAGCACACATGAAACTTTTAAGAGATAAAGTATAAATTAAAGTAAAGGATATTCTAAAGTCATACACAAGGAAATCTACAAGAGAACATGAGGAAATAAATGTATAAATGTAAATGGGAGGTTCAGCAGTGAGTACGAGCATAAAATAAATCTGGCAAATGTGAATATGAGTGGGTGCATGAACTCACCAATCATTTTGTATTTCCTTCTGATATCTGTACCTGAGCTGAGGTGACGCAAAAATTTCCCCATTGTGGGATCAATAAAGTCTTATCTTATCATAACTTCTTAACAAAAAAAACACTTGTGGGTGGTAGCAATCCTTTGCAGGTTTTAGGGTGGGGCCTAATCATTGCTGTAAGTGGGTGTGTTTGTTTGACAGTAATGTTCAATTCAATTCAATTTTATTTATATAGCGCCAAATCACACCCGATGTAATGTTTCCCAGAGCAACACTAACAAGATGACACTGTTCCCATCACCTTTCTGAGGGTTTAACGCTGAGATCAGAGTACACCGAGGTAAATGATTGTCCGATTAAACTCATGACGAAGAAAACTCACGGGAAACTTTAAAAAAATGAATATGTCATAGACAGGATATTTGGGCGTGGACTGAGCGGCTTTAGTGTCTCAGTGGGTCTGATGTTTAAAAAATTGTTTTCTTCTTTGATTTGCTGATTTCATGTTGAACTCATAGATAACACTGACAGATTCTATTTGATGGCTTATAGTTTCCATGTGAGACTTCTATTACAGACTATTACAGGTTACAAAATTGTTAGATAAAAAGATTCATGCCAGCAAGCACTCTTTCTTTTTCCACAAAGCAGTGAGGAGAATGTGAGTGTTGATTAATGCGCTGAGCCGGGTATGGCAATATATTTTGGCAATATATGTCACAGTCATCAGATGAAAACAGACTCCAGTGTCCAGTTAGGTAACAGAAAGAGGGTCAATTGCAGTGCTGTTCTTTGTCTCTACAGCAGCAACATTTAGGTGTTTGATATGAGATCATAGCAACCCAGACTCACCTACTTTCCAAAGCTAAAGTCAGTGTAATCCATGAGTTCACACAGTTGTCTCACCTATTCTGACTGAGCTGAAGCAATTACACTAGCAGAAACAGAACTACGGGATAATAAAACCAGATCCACCCCAAAGCCAAGAGAAATCCTTTTACTGGGTGTAGATATTTAGTTAGCAGCGCCACAAGCAAGCTCTTTGCACTTTGAGATAATTCTAATATCTGTGTCTGTGCTCGCAATGTGAGCTCCGCGAGCACACTTAGAAAGTCATTTATATTCTAAATTACTCTTTGCAGAACACCATGCTTTAACGTCACTGGCTGCGATACGGCAAATTATTAACACCCTGCAACATTTTCATATGCAGTGCCTCTTTATCATTTTGTATCATTACCAGACAGATTAATTTTTTATATTCTGAGATTAGAAAAACATTTCAGTCCATTTGTGTGGATAGAGCAAGTAAAATATGATCTCTTTGATCATTAAAACACTGAAGTATTTTCTGTAATGTGTTTTGTTGCAAGTATTTACAGTGGGGGAAATTTAATCCCCTGCTGAATTTTTAAGTTTGTTCGCTTGTGATGGTGCTTTCATTTTAATGGATGCAGACAGAATATAAACCAAAAATCCAGAGAAAAAACATTACAGAAAAAGTTATGAATTGACTTGCAGAATTTGCTAGAACTCTGGATGCCACACATTGGTTGTATGCCCATTAAAATCAGCCATCCAGTCATTTACAGATACTCCTAATCTCCGTACACAGAATCAGTTTCTTCCATTCCAACCTCTCCACTACAATGTGCAAGACCAAAGAGCTATCAATTATTTGGCCATGGAAGAAATATCAAATGACCATCACTTGCTCTTGGTCTGAAGATCTTGCTTCATGGGGGTGAGGATGAACATGAGAGAGATGGACGATCAGCCCAAAACTTGTTAACAATGTGAAGGCAGTTTGGATCAGAGTCACCAAGAAAACCTTTGTTAACTAACTACATTGTAATGGACTGAAATATTGCTGGTCTTTGTGCTCAAGAAGACACGAATGTACACCTGTTTTATGAATGATTCAGAGAAGGCTTGGGAGCCAGTGCTGCGTTCAGATGAAACCAAAATCGAGCTCTTTAGTATCGACTTGACCCGCTGTGCTTGGAAGAAGAGAATCAATCAATCAATCAATCAATCAAAACTTTATTCGCCACATGCAGGTTGCAGGTTGCCCCCCCCCCCCCCCCGACCTTACACACACAACACAGACATCACATGGGGATACAAGTCAGAGATCGGTAGAGTTACAGAAAAACACTGAAATGTACACTACAATGGGAAAGTACAAGAGGAAAAACAGAGACCTCTACTCATGCTGTGCTTCCATGGTAGGACGGCATGAGAACAGGAAACAAAAAAATGCTGAGAATGACCTAAAGAACATCTCTACACAGTAAAGCAGGAGGCTGTTTTCTCCTGTGGGTACAGGACGCCTTCACTGCATTGAGCAGCCATGTAACACAACATCTTGGATGAGAACCTCCTTCTCTCATCCAGAACACTGAAGACGGGTTGTGGACTAG